CTGCAGCCCAGGAATCTTCAGGTCTGCTTCATCATTTTCTTTGATTTGCTGGGCACGCAGTTCCTCATTGCTGGTCATAGCCTCTTCAAACCGCTTTGTGGAGACCCTACAGGCATTTTGAGCATCCCCCAACTTCTTCTGCTCGCCAGCCAGCTGGAACTCGAGCGACACTACCTTGTGGCATTCGTCCTCTAGCTCAAACTTGACCGCGCGCAGCTCAGCATGGGCTCGAGCGGCAACATTGCGCTGTACGATTGCCAACACCTCCATCTTCTTCGCCTTCTGAGCCTCCTCCAACCCCTGGCACACGCACTCTGCGCAGCTTTCCTCCAATCGACGCTCTCCCTCTTGAAATTTTCAAGTTGGGCCTCCACCTGCCCCAACCTCTCCCTCTCCCTCCTCAATTCGCTCTTCGCCACCGCTGCCTTATTCAATAGGGCTCCTGCTAAGGCAGCCACCTCCATCTGGGCTGAGCACAACCCCTTCATCAGCTCAGCTTCAGTATAGCCCGCCACTGAGCGAACGACTGCGTCTTTCACCACCCCCAAGAGGCGGTCTGCAGCCTTCCTGGCCTCTTCCCCTTCCCCTTCCACTCGCCCAGACACCACAGGGACGTGGTAGAAGGCGGTCTTCAACCCAGGCCTCTGTCCCTCTCTTTGGGATGCCAGACCCTCCTGTGGTTGTGGCTCTTCCCTTGGCTCTACCCTTGGTTCAGCGCTGACCCCATCATTTTGCATTTGCTCCCCAAGGCCAGTCGCTCCACTCTCTGCCTCTTTGGCTGTCCCCTCCAACCCTATTTCAGGGGTCCCCTCTGCCTCCCCGCCAAGGGGGTCTACTCCGTCATCGCCTCCTTCCTCCTCTTCAAGGCAGGCTCCTCTTCACTCCTCCTCACTCTCCTCTTCTTCTTCACCACACCTTCCATCTCCTCGTAGGCTCTCTCCTTCAAAGGATCAACTGGGCGCGATCGTGGCTCAAATCCACCTAAGTCCTTTTCCCCCAAGGGTTTCGGGGGGCGGTCGGATCCTCTCCCTCGCGATCGGCTTAGCCGGTCGGTCTGCCTGGGACTCTTTGAACTTACTGGCTTTGGCGAGGATGGTCATATCCTCAGCCTCTTGCGCTTTCCTTCTCGCCTCTAACTTCGCTGGTCCCAGGTCTCCACCGATCGGCTGAGGACCCAACCCTGCCATAAACAAGGCTGACGGCTGAACAAGTTCATCCCATCTAGCGCCCTCCTTCTCCCTCTATTCCTTCACCTTCTTCACTATCGCCTCTGCTGCTACCCCCAATTTTGGCTCCACAGACTTGGTGGGCACTTTCCAAAATGTGCGCACTCCAACTCCTCCGTTGGCGGACATATAGAACCACCGCGGCCTCCATCCCTTTATTGATGACGGCAACCCCACCACCAGCCCCTTCTTTGCTGCCGCCTGCAAAGTGACCTAAGTCTCTTGCTGCCCCGAAGCCTTGTAGCACGCAAAAACTAGTCCACCGTCATTTTAGCCCCCCCGTTCGCCTTCTGCCACGCGTTTGCACAGGCCAGCAAGATTTTCCACGCATTGGGAATCAGTTGGCTTGGAGCTACCTCCAACCAGTTCAACACGTCCACCACTATCCAGGGTAGCGGCAACCTCAAACCCCCCTTTAGCGCCTCCTCGTATAAGGAGAATTCCCCCGGTCGAACATCGGATGCCCTCTCCTTTGATTCCGGTAGTTTCAACTCTATTTGTGCGGGAATCTGGTACTTCTCCCGGATACCCTCCAGCTCTTTCGCGGTAATGATCGACTTATCGGCCTTTGTATGCCAGTGATCTGGCTCCACCTGGCTGATTGGCGTCGTCGCCGCCATCATTGTGGATGAACGAGGTCGCCCCGACGGCTCCCCCCCACTCCCCACTCGCCTCTCCGTCCTGTATTGCTTCGCCAAATCCACCGCATCGTCGTCCCCCAATGGATCAACCCTGGCATTTGTAGCTTCTTCTTGGGTCATTTCTGTGGTGTGTCTACGAATAGTTTCGGATGCAGGCGCAAGGAAATTCAAAAAATGTCGCAACGGTGTATCACTTGCAACGAAGGAGTCTACACTTGGAATGTTTTGATTTTTCAAAAAAAGGTAGGTAAAACGTATAATACCAAAAGCCCAAGGCTTGCCTGTATTCCAGAGGTCACAATTAATTTTCACCAGTTTGAAAAATTTTCAACCATCTGCCAAAACTGTCTTTTCAACATTTATAATGACTTATCGTTTCACTTCTGGCCCAATGCCTAACCTTCCCCACCACGAGATTCTGCCACGTCTACGGCCACGATTCACTGCCCCCTTCCCCTACCCTGTCTTTTCCACTTCAAGTCACCACGTGACCCGCCGCCTCTCGAGCCTCGTACCCCTCCACCTCCCCCTTCGCGGTCGACCCTCCTCATGGTCGGTCCCTCCCCTCGGCTACCCTTCGCGGTCGGCCCTCCTCATGGTCGGTCCCTCCACTCGGTGACCCTCTGCGGTCGTCCCTCCTCATGGTTGGTCACTTCACTCGGCCACCCTTCGTGGTTGGCTCTCCTCGTGGTTGGTCCCTTCACTCACCGCCCCTCCACGGTCAGCCCTCCTCATGGTCAGTCTCTCCACTCGGCCACCCTTCGCAGCCGACCCTCCTCATGGTCGGTCCATCCACTCGGTCACTCCTATCGGTCGGCCTCTATCCAGTCGGTCTCTAACAACCCTCATTTTCTTCATTATTCCTTTTGTTGGACTAAAGCTGCACTTGGGAATGGGGGACTACAGACATGGGTAGGCTCATAAAGGCTACAGCCCACTATGAACAATCCAAGCCCACCATTTAGGGCCCAATACACAATCCAATTAATGAAGCCCAGCACTGCTGAAGCCCCACATAGCAATAAGAACCAATGGCACCAAGACACATGGCAAGAGAAGGGTAAGCCACATCAGCAGACAAAGATCTGCAAAGTTATTGCTACGCCACATCGCCATTAATGAGGCCCCTTACTGCATTTATTGCGATAACCCCTCTCTGTCGGGATAGCACGCTCTCACCCTGAACAAGGTAAGCTACAACATAGACTTTCGACCAAGGTGACAGGTCGGAAGGGACAACGAAATGATTACCAGAGGATATAAGCAGACGTTGAAGATAAGAAGAAGGGTAAGCTTTCTATCTCTAATCTCGCTCTATACTCCACTCCTCTTTCTAACTTGCTCGTCGGAGGGTTCGCTGGGGGACTCCCCGTTTCCCGTTGAACTCGTGTGCAGGTCTTCCGGTGGTCTTGGTCACTCGGACATAGGCGTGAGGAGTGTGGATCAGTCTGACCCGATTCATTGGAACGAACTGCATTATCAATAAATATTCATTTTTTTTTTTATGTTTCTAAATATAAATTTATCTCATTTCACTTAATTTTATCATATCTTTTTTTTTTCTCCAGGAATTTATATTTTCATATGTTTTATGTTTTTTTTTTTATAAATCCAAGATTTAAATATATATTTTTTAGGCAAATGAGATTGGAAAAAATACTATAATTTGAGAAAGGTATAATACAAATTTATAAAAAAAATTATAATTATAATTATTAATATTTATAAAATTTATTTATAATTACTCCATTTTTTAGAACTTAGCTTGAAGAATTTTGAAAACTAGATACTATTTTTCTTTCTGAAGTACCTAACAAAAAACTAGATACTATTTTCTCTTACAAAAAGAGAATAAAAAAGCAAAGAGCAGGGGGGTGTTTGGGAACTTTTAGTTTTTGGATTTTTTTTTTTTTTTTTCACTACAAGGCAAATGTTTTTTAAAACTAAAAAAAATAAATCCAAACAAAATATCACATCAAATTTTATAATCATTTTACTTTTTTTTTTTACAAACATCACCTCAAACCACAAAAAAACTCAACTATCTTCCAAAACAAAAAAAAAAAAAAAAATTCAATAATATCATACAACTAAAAAACTTATAAAAAAATTCACTTTCCAAACATCTACTTTGTTGGATTAAGGTTGGAATTAAAAAAAAGTATAAAAAAAATAAAATAGATCAAATAAATTAATAAAACACAATAGCATATTTAAATTATAATTATTTTATTTTTTTCTTAAAAAATAAAAAATTCAATTTTTTTTTTTTTAAACAAAACTTAAGTAAATGTTTTGAATAACTTACAAAAGTTAAAAAGTTAAAAAATTATTAAAAAAATCAAAATGTCTATACTATTTGAAGGAAGTTTAGGGGGCAAAATTATTATTTTGCCTTCTGAATTTAAATACCTAAAATTCAAAAAGTTAAAAGTAAAAAAGTCAATAAGGATAAAATAGTTATTTTGATTTTATTATATATTTTTTTTGTAAAAATTCAAAAAATTATTTCAAATATACATTTTTTTTCTCTACTTTTTTAGCTAACAATTTAAAAAATGCACATATATAGATCGTTCCAAACAACTCTTAAATCAGGATAAATTAATCAAAAAATAATCAAGCTAATTGGGTATGTTTGGTTTGAGTTTTAGAGATGAGTTTTAGAAAAAAATTTCTAAAAAATTATTTGCTTTGAGATTTTTCTTAAAAAAGTTTCAAAATCACTTTATCTCTCTTACATATTAATCAATCACTTTTTCTCTCACACACATCTATTCAATTACAAAATAATATCAAATCATCTCAAACTCCCAAACTCTAAAACTACTTTTAAAATATATAACCAAACAAATTAAAAAAATCTCTAAGATAACTCTTAAATTTTTTTCAAAAACAACTGTTCCAATTTTTTTTTTTTTTCCCAAACCAGCCCGGTAAATCATTTTCCAAAGGGCAAATTACATATACACCCCTCGAGGTTTGGTTAAATTACAGATACCCCTGAGGTTTCAGAAATTACATCCCGCCCCTTTCAAGAAATCGCGTTTGAAAAATCAATCAATGAAAACAAATACAGAGAGAGAGAGAGAGAATATATCTAAAGTTTGCCCGAAATTACCTGACAATTGCCCGACAGTCTCACCAAACGCGCACGGTCAGTTGCCCGTAATCTCACCTGTCAGTGGGTTCAAACTCCAAGGCCACTCCATTATACTACTCCTGCTCTATATATTCATCTCCCATTTCAGTCTTTTTCCACCACCACACTCCGTCGCCACCCGCCACCCATCGCCGCCGTGGACGGTGGCGCGTACCCTGATGCAGAGAGCAAAGACAAGGGGGTATGGGTCAGGGACTGAGTTGCAGAGAACCCCATGACAATAGCTTCTTTAGTGCTGTCCAAAATGGAGAGCTCGAGACAGTGGAGACCATTGTTGATGATGAGCCAAGTGTGCTGGAACGAACCACTGCTCGTGGGAAGCTCTCTGCACTTCATGTGGCTGCTGCAAATGGTCAGATCCAGGTGGGTTTTGTGTATTTTTTTGATTCTTGATTTGATCTTTGAATTTTATTTTATTTTATTTCATTTTGGGATTTAATTTGATGGGTTTTTGTGTCGTTTGTTTTGATAATGGGTAGGTTCTTTCTATGCTTTTGGATCTGTCTGATCGTCCTGATGTATTGAATCGCCACAAACAGGTAAATTTCAATGTGAATAAGCTTATGTATACATTATGTATGTGTTTACATCGTGTTTGTGTATATGATTTTGTTTTTGGGGTACCTCATTTTGGCTACTTTTCATTGAATTTTTTCTTCTCAATTATGTGCAATGATGTGTCTACACTGATTACTTTCGTTTGTGATTGGTTTAGACCCCATTGATGTTAGCTGCAATGAATGGGAAGATTTCCTGCGTTGAAAGGCTGATTCAAGCCGGGGCTAATGTATGTTCTCCAATCTCTCTGTCTCTCTCTCTCTCTCTCATCAAATTTGAGTGAAAATTTAGTTAAAAGTTTGATCTGTTATGGAACTCTCCAATTCTTTTACTTTCTATTTTTTTAATCAAATGTTTTTGAAATATTCCAAACCTATCATAGAAACCTGTTTTAATAATTTTTTATGAATATCTTCAATCCTTACTTCCAATTTGAGTAAAAATATGGCTGTCGTGAATTTGGTGAACGATTTCGTTCAACCGTGATTTGGTGAAAATTTTGCCACTTTCTCTTCATTTATACAAGTCTCATGAATTGATTGGAGTTCACTTTTTTCTCTTTATTCATCAAATATGAATTTGATAAAGAATTGGTGAAGGATTGGAGGTGCTTTTACCTCTTTTTGATTCTCTTTTATTTGTTTATTTATTTCTATTGTAAGTTTCTTGACTGAATTGCAGAAGAGAAATTGATCATTGGTTGTGTGAAATTTCATTAGATTTTGATGTTTGATTCACTCCATGGAAGGACCTGTTTGCATTATGCTGCTTTCTATGGCCATCTAGATTGCCTACAAGCTATTCTTTCTGGTGCCCTTTCCACTCCTGTTGCCCATTCCTGGTGAACCTCTCTCTCTCTCTCTCTCTCTCTCTCTCTCTCTCTCTAGCACGCACACACACACACACATGCCTGTGTAGAGAATATCCATGAAGTTGCTAAAGCTGTGGTTGTTTTGTTTGGTTTGATTTGGAGTTGATGGCAGGGGATTTGCAAGGTTTGTGAATATAAGAGATAAAAATGGAGCAACCCCATTGCACTTGGCAGCCCGACAAGGATGGCCGGAGTGTGTTCATATGTTGTTAGACAGTGGGGCTCTTGTTTGTGCATCTACTGGGGGATATGGGTAAAACTCTCTTCTTGAAGGTTTTCTAGTGTAACGTCATAGCACTGTTAATTTGTCATTAATATTTATAAGAGTCCTGCTTGCAGTTACCCTGGGATTACACCACTTCATTTTGCAGCTCGTGGGGGTTCATTGGATTGTGTTCGGGAATTACTTGCTTGGGGGGCTGATAGACTTCATAGAGATTCATCTGGGTAAACTTTTTATTTTTAATTTTTTTTAGTTTTTCTTTCTTTCCTGACTTTAGAAAGAAGTATATGATAATTGATGCAGTCTAGATCCACTGACATACGAAGTAGATGATTTCAAGGTCTTTGATGCTGAAATTAGTTTTGAGTACTCAATATGGATTTAGATGTTATAGCAGCATGTGAAACCCCTTGTTATTCCCTTTCTATGGAGTTGAATGTGCCACAATCTACGTATTTCTAGTGTGGTTAAACCATATTAGTCTTCACGATCAAGTATAATGAAAATCGAGAGTAATTGGTTCCTATTGAGATTGTTGAGGATGAGATGATGGCATTAAAGAATTTGGATTGAGGCTTTGACAAGTATGATTTAACAAAAGATATGGTGACACCTAAGAAGGAGCAACTCCAATGGGCTTGTATAATGGTTGCTATTGCCAAATTATATGGTGGCTGCACCTAAGAAATCCTCTCCAGTGGCCTGCCAAAAGGTCTGTTAAAAACTTACATTGCCAAATCTTGTGCATCAATTGTGCCAACTCAGCTTACCCAAGAGAGGGTTTTGATCCAATGCTCTGGATGTGAGACATCCATTGGACAGAATTGAGCAATGATCTAGATGTGCCAAACTGGCATTTGCACCATTGGAACAACATCGCTAAAAAAAATGACATTTTGACATTTTTCCTTTTGGCAGTCACCACTGGAGTTCCACTGAACTTTTGAGATAGTTGCATTTGAAATTTTTCGCTATTTTTCTGTCTTTAATACTTCTAATATTGTGGGAAGTTTGCTCTATTTGTATTTTGAATGAATGGAGACCTTAGCTGCGAATGTTTTGCGAGTGAAATGATTGTTACCAGCTGATATCTTGGCAGGAGGATACCTTACATGGTTGCTTTGAGGCACAAACATGCAGCATGTGCAGCTTTATTGAACCCGTCAGCTCCAGAGCCTCTTATATGGCCATCACCATTGAAGTTCATTACTGAGCTTAATCCAGAGGCAAAAGCATTATTAGAGAGGGCACTAATGGAGACAAACAAGGAAAGGGAAAAAACCATCTTGAAGGCTACAGTCTACTCACTTCCATCGCCTTTGCATTCCGAAGCTGAGGCTGGTGACAATATGTCTCAGGTAAATTGTTTTCCTCTAAATTTGTAGTTTCCAGTTGACACTCTGCGTGACTGATCACTGATTCAGATGTCTCTAACTTCTGTTTTTCAATCCAAACTGTAATATAGCTATTCTCTGACAATAGCTTACCTTAAAACGAATGTGAAAGATGTATTGTCCAATTGTGTATTAATTTTATCTGAAGATGGACAATGTGGCAACAATATCTAGTTGACTTGGTACCAGGAAGAATTTTGATACACCTAACTAGGATCGGTGAGATGCGAAACACAAAAAGAAACAAGAATTGTGAGCATGCCCAATGTTCTTCCATTTAAAACCACCAAGGTTTTACACTTGCAAGAAATTGCATTACGGGGGGGGGGCAATTTAAGGTACATTGAAGCTTAGAGTTTAATAAATAAAGAACCAGTTTTTTCTTTTTCTTTAAATCTGCTTCTAAGATTCTTATTTACCGGAAGAAAAATACTTTCCAAACAGGCAAGCGATGTCGACCTGTGCTGCATCTGCTTTGACCAGGTCTGCACAATTGAGGTTCAAACATGTGGTCACCAAATGTGTGCCAATTGCACCCTAGCTCTGTGCTGTCACAACAAGCCCAATCCTACAACGTCAGCTCCAAAGGCCCCCGTTTGCCCCTTTTGCCGAAGCAACATTACCCAACTAGTTGTTGCCAAAATCAAAACCGAGAACGATAAAGAATTTGAATTCAGCCCATCAAAGCCAAGAATATCAAGAAAATCTTTCAATACCAGCGAAGAGAGCAGCAGCTTCAAGGGTTTGTCTGCCATGAGTTCGTTTGGGAAGTTGGGTGGACGTAGTTCAGGGAAAGTTGCTGCTGAATGTGACGACGAACTCGATAAGCTTTAAAAATTGAACATACAGACAAAGGGCTGTCTTGGATTCACTTTGTGACCACGAGACACGGGGTTTGTATCTGGAACTCCTTTTTTCCCCCAAAATTTATGTTGTAATGCTTTTAAAAACCATCTAAGAAATATATATATATATATATATACGAGTTAATGAAAAATTCTTACGGATTTTGGTTTAGGAGGGCTTCTTTGTTGTTGTAATCTGCTTCACTTAAGATTGAAGAAGCAAGACTGAATTGAGGATCTACTACTTGAATGCTATATATATTATAAGTATTTTTCTCTTGCTCAACCATTTGCAAAGCAATTTTAATTTTCCATTTAAGACACATTACTTGGGAAAACTTTCAAAAGTCATCCACTCTTTCTAGTTCTGTCATATGTTACCCATGAAGGGAAACATTTGTTTGTGCATATAAGAGGTTGGAATGTTAGATAGTGCTCATGGAATGGATATTTCTTCTGAAATTTGGCTTCTTTTTTCAGTGTATTATGCTCATCTCATGTAAGGGTGGAAATTTAATTTGACTTGGAACTGGAAGGGGGGTTTAAACCAAGTCTTATACATATCATACATGTGAGTTTTTAATAACTAAATACAATCTTGTTGACTTGGGCTTCTAGTGTACATCCAACAAGTCGGCCTTACCCATCAAACACAATAAATTAATAGGACCAACATCACTAGTCCCACAAAAACTTAAAAAGAAAAAAAGTCCATTTCCTTATCTATAATACAATACAACATATGCATAATTTTTTCTTGAAGGCAAGTTGAGTTGATATAGAATAATTTTTTCTTCTTCTTCTTCTTCTTCTTTTCATATTTTACTAAGATTGATAGAAGCCTTGGAACTGGAAGGGGGGTTTAAACCAAGTCTTATACATATCATACATGTGAGTTTTTAATAACTAAATACAATCTTGTTGACTTGGGCTTCTAGTGTACATCCAACAAGTCGGCCTTACCCATCAAACACAATAAATTAATAGGACCAACATAAATTTTTTCTTGTCTATAATACAATACAATAAGGCAAGTTGAGTTGATATAGAATAATTTTTTCTTCTTCTTCTTCTTCTACTTCTTTTCATATTTTACTAAGATTGATAGAAGCTGGTTTTGTTTTTTTTGGAGAAATTTAATCTTGCATCCTATTATATTTCTCTTTTTAAACTTAAAATACATGCAAAAGAAAATAATATAGGAAGTCTTGTTACCGGTTGCCCTTAAAAGTTTGGTTGACAAAATTTAAAATGATTATATATTTTTTATGACATGTATTTTTACAAAGAATGTACAATCATTTCAATGTTATTAACAAGTCCTTTTTAAGACACTTGCTAACAAATTACATCACAAGATGAGAATTTTTTTTAAAAATATTTTGGCACCCCACCACAAAAATCTAGGCTCGCCAATCAACCTTGGCCACCAATTCCTTGAACTCTGATTGTCATTGCCACCACCTCTTCCACCTTCAATTGCTATCCCAATCTTTTTTCTATCACTTCCAATTACAACCAGCCTCACTCAAACATTACCTACCACCCTCGGCCACTACCAATGTCCTATAACCCCTCTTTCGTCACCCCAACTCCCTCTCTTTCCCACTGTAAATCCTTTGAAGCCTAGCCACCGTTGCAGCCCTAGACCTTTAAAAGGTAACCATTGTCACAATCATATTTGAAACCTTAGCATATACATACATGTATATAGCACTTGGCACATGCGATGCATGTACAATATAAATAAGTAAACATAAAAATAAATAATAAAAATTAATATCACAATGTGTGTTGTTTCAGTGGTAAGAGTTTTCTTTTTTAAACTCAAGATCAAAATTATGAGTGAGAAATAAGGAGAAACAAGCAAAGATACTAGTATAGATAGTATAGATGAGAGAGGGATGAAGTGGGAAGCAATGAGTAGCTGAGTAGCGCGGGGGGGGGGGGGTGTAATTTTGATTTTTGGAGTTTTTGTCCGTAATTGTAACTTTGGTAAGGGGTAAAATTGAAAATTTAATATTAAAATGGTCAGTGAAGTAAAGGGAAAGGTGGTGTGCATCAGAAGCAACTCAGCTCCACAAAGAAAGGGTTAAGACACTAAGAATCTTTTGAAATTCACAAAACCTTTATAAAAATTGAAGTGAATGCATACATTATTGTATAGGCCCTTGGAAACACTAATTTAATCACAACAATGAAATGCAGTTGTTCTTGGTAAAGGTTGCTCTTAAATAAACAACCTGACACTCAATAAATGGTATGCAAATAAGTTTAGAAATACAACAATGGATATAATTTTTTAGATGTAGACTACACTTTATAGACATGAAGGCTAGAGATTAAAAATTCAGATACAAAAGAAAAAGAAAAATAGTGTGTGGTTCAGAGTCAATTATTGTATGATAGGATCCACGCTTAGAATGAATCTGGACTATACACTACTTTTCTTGATACTTGTTGCTAGCGTCTGAGTTCTTAATCTCTAGCATTATTGCAATTACAAATTTTATAAAATTTTGTCCATTTATATAAATTATGTGTCCACTTCATGCGATCATAGATTCGATAGGATGGAGAAGTGTCCTCTATTAAGAATCCAATTTGTATTCAAATTCAAGAACATGATATGATATCCAACACCCACAACAAAAACAAAAAGCTGTGTTGAAAAGTGATCAATCAATGAGTAAGTTGTCCACACAAGCATGACAACAATAGTGGTGTCCCATACCCATTTCCATGCTCAAACATCTTTGTGTTGGACAAGTTTTCACCGTTTGAATCCAACCAAGAACTTGCCTGATCTGGAGGAGGAGCGACATGGCCTGCAACGAACAGCGAGTTTGGATCCGAAACATGGGAAAAATCACCCGGCTCATAGGTACGGACCGGGCTCTGATTCCTCCGGTAAGTAGTGGCAGAAACTCTTCTCTCTGCTTCAAGCAAGTGACCAAGGGACGGTGTGTTATTGTTGTTGTTGTTGTTCATGTTCACAGCATCGGTGGTTAGCTTTGAGCATAGTGAGAACAACCATGGCCTCTGTTTGAAACCCCTTTTTTCTCTTGAGGTTTCAGAGGGTACTCTTCCTCTCATCGATCTCCTTGAGAGCTCGAGGATGTTGGAAACACCAATGAGGCTCCCGAGGGTGATGCTCTTGTCGCGAAAGAAAGAACCAGTGGACTGAAACAAATTTAGAACATGTTAAGGGATGGCGTGAAAAAATGGAGCAATATTTAGAGAGAAAATTTGTCCAAGTTGACTTAATTTGAATTGTTGTGTTAGTTCTAGGTAAATTAATTCACAAATATGGTTTCTTATGAGAAATTTCACAGTTCCAAACTCTCACCATTGATAATAAGACTGACAAACCAAGCTTTGGTTTATATTTACGCTGTAATAGAAAGTGTCATTCAGGTAGTTACCCTCAGGGCTGGCCCTGGGTATAAACAAGCAAGGCCACCATCTAAAGCTCCCAAAGTTACTAAAATTGTGAGGAAACCAATGTTTTCATGATACATCAGCAATTATTTAAATTATTAATTTTGAGTTTCTAATGGAACACTAATGACATAGCAGGAAGAAAAAAAAAAAAAAAGGACTAAAGTATTACATCACAATGAGTAGAGTCCATTGTAAGCTAATTAGAATTGGCTTTAGAGCTCAAGAATTAGAGCTCCAAAGTATTTTTCATATAAAGGGCCCATGTTGCCACTCCACTAAGGCCCCGAAAACTCAAGACCGGCCTTGGTTATCCTACTTCTCATTTCTCAATTTCAACTGTTTAAAGTTGTCAAGCTTATGATGTTCCAAGACAGTGAAGGACTGTCTTAGTGCACAAAACTAAAAAAAAAAAAAAAAAAGGACTAAAGTATTACATCACAATGAGTAGAGTCCACTGTAAGCTAATTAGAATTGGCTTTAGAGCTCAAGAATTAGAGCTTCAAAGTATTTTTCATATAAAGGGCCCATGTTGCCACTCCACTAAGGCCCCGAAAACTCAAGACTGGCCTTGGTTATCCTACTTCTCATTTCTCAATTTCAACTGTTTAAAGTTGTCAAGCTTATGATGTTCCAAGACAGTGAAGGACTGTCTTAGTGCACAAAACTGTCACAGATATAGGCTGTCTAGCTATGCGTGCAAAGAGATTGTTTTGGACAAAATTATATGGTGCTCCCAGAATAAATATATGTAGTGTTTTAATTTAATTTTTCTTAATTAAAACAGTAAACCTTACTATTTTTGTATTAATTTTTAAAAGACAACATGACATATGTCATGTAATACATAATGTGAAATACTGTTTCATAACCGAACATCTCACTTTATTTTCCTGGAAAATCAGATTGAGAATCTTCTTAAGATGCCCCCATGGAAGTGAAAATACGGACAGTTACACAGAAACATATGTTATATAAATAGGTATATCCACGGCACATACTATAAATATATATATGCCTATATGCACGGGAGAGTCAAACACCATCATGCAAAACCACGTGAAATGAGTAAAAGTAGCTTCAACTTTAAATAAGCATGACCTTGTCAGAACATTGGTTGTACATAAAAGAAAATTAGATGTGAACTTATACTCAACAACAGTCTCCAGTTTGCTTTAATATTTTTCTTACATTTATTTATAACGCCATAAATGGTGGGAAAAAAAATGACCATGATAGTTATAGTAAATAATTTATAGTCAGAAACCACAATTAAGGGGTTGTTTAGGATGACCTAAATAAGTGTATTTTTTGTCTTTTTACGAAAAGATGTACAGAAAAGTAGAGAGGTGATGTGATGAAAAAAAGATAAAAAGATAAAAAGATGGATTATTTGAGACTTCCCAAACTTAAGCCTAAATGATGCGTCTTGTAATTATTCTTATTATTTTCTCTTATTGAGCACAAATATACAGTTGTAAAACAAACTAATCGGCCTGTGTTCAACACGTTATAAACTACTAGTTTGGTATTGATTTATTATGTAAATAATTAAATTTTAAAAATAATTAAATTTTTAAACTAAATTTAATTATTACTTGACTGGACAAGTTCACAAAAAATTTACTTGAGTTTAAATTGTTAAAAACTCAATTGAGTAATTATAAATAAGTAAAAACATGATTTGAACTAGTTAAGTTTTGGGTAAATTATAAATATACCTCCTGAAATTTGATTAAAATACGAATCACTCCCTGTGATTTTAAAAATTACATTTCACCTCTTGAGATTTCAATTTCATAACAAATTGCCCCCTTTATTAATAAATTATCAAGTTAATTAACAGTTTTTAATAATATAAAAATATGTTTCAACTAATAATTTAGGTAATTTTATTATTATATATGAGAGAAATTATGAATTTTATTTTTTTTAGTTAATTCTGTTAAATAAATTTTTTTAATAAGAGAGTATTTGTAATTTTTCAAACCACATAAGTAATCCATATTTTAAATAACTCTCGGGAGATAGTATTTGTAATTTACCCTTAAGTTTTCATTACTTGCCTAAGAGCATCTCCAATGGTGAACTTCTTTTTTCACAAAATCTGAGTAAAAAATGACTCATTTCACCAAATCTGATATCAGTAACTCCAACGGTGCATCAAATCCCGTATCAAATCCCGTAGGTCAACCGGTTGGTCGATCGGTGGATCGACCGGTAAGCGTAAATATATATATATATATATATTTTGCACCTTGAAACATTTTCGTAACCACTCTCCATAACCACTCTCCATCAAATTCTGAGAAAAATTGAAACAAAGCTCATTGATTCCATAACCACTCTCCATCAAATTCTGTGAAACACCCAAAGGAAACCCAAAATTATCTGGATACAACTGTGCCCATCATATACGCAAACAAGACCAGAATCGAAATGGGTTTCTGATTCAAAACAAGAACTTGATTGATTGTTTTGGAATGTAATTGTTAACATACAGCTTGGTTTTGGTATGTAATTGTTAACATACAGCTTCATCATCTTCATCAAGAACTTGGTATGTAATCAGAACAGCTTCATCTCTGTTTTGGTTTTGGTGGGTCGACCGGCCGGTCGACTGGCCGGTCAACAGGCAAGGGAAAATGTAATTTTTTTTTTTTTTTATCTGTTTGCATCAAATTCTGTGACATTGATTCCATAACCACTCTCCATCAAATTCTGTGAAACACCCAAAGGAAACCCAAAATTATCTGGATACAACTGTGCCCATCATATACGCAAACAAGACCAGAATCGAAATGGGTTTCTGATTCAAAACAAGAACTTGATTGATTGTTTTGGAATGTAATTGTTAACATACAGCTTGGTTTTGGTATGTAATTGTTAACATACAGCTTCATCATCTTCATCAAGAACTTGGTATGTAATCAGAACAGCTTCATCTCTGTTTTGGTTTTGGTGGGTCGACCGGCCGGTCGACTGGCCGGTCAACAGGCAAGGGAAAATGTAATTTTTTTTTTTTTTTATCTGTTTGAACTTTTTTTGACCGATTTGAACCAACCTATTTGAAAGGAATTTGGTCGACTAGTTGGTCAACCGGCCGGGCAACCGGTTGGTCGACCGGGTCCTCCCTCCAACGGTCACAAACAGTGTTTTGGTGAAATCAGTATCTTGTTCTCAGTTTGATGAATTGTTTGATGAAATCTCAATCTAATATCGATTTGGTGCAACCGTTGGAGTAATAAACAGTAATTTTTTCATCAAAATTTAAATTTAATGTCAACTTTGATAAACCGTTAGAAATGGTCTAAGTAACCACCGAAACCTAAACAAATTCATTAACATTGCCTTTATATCTTAGATTTGTGAGTTTAAAAAAAAATAAAAGCAGTGAAAAAAAAGAGAGAATTATTTCGTTTACCTTTTTCCTTATTTTATTTATTTATTTATTGCTATACACTCGAATAAACACATATAGAGAAATACATAAGCATTTAAGCATACAGAAACAATGTATACACAGAATTAACTGACCTCTGTATCAAGATCCGAAGAAGAATCAGTGGCAGAAGTGGGAGAACCAGTGAGCAAAGTGCTGAAGGAAATTGAACCATTACGATCACGATTTCTCACCAACCCAACTCTTGCATTCAGTGGTTGCAACCCAAGAGGCCACCCATCTTCCTGCAAATCAAAATCATACATATACATAGTTCATACACAGTCATAAAAGTGAACCCAGAAAGATCAATCACAAGACCATATTACCATCTCTTAGAGAGAAAGAGAAAGAAACCAAAGTAAAAACAAAACAAAAAAAGAAAAAAAAAAGAAAGATTTAAATGGAAAATGCAAGGAATCCCATTTGAGCAGGGGGGAAAAAGATCTCAAGAAATGCCTAGAGAGACAGAGATGGAGACAAAACAGAGAGGATGGCGAACAAGTACCTGTTGTGCCATAGCAGCTCTTTCTCTCTGCCCAAGAACTTGGGGGAGGACTGGGGCTGTGATTGATTGATTTTAGTAGGAACAATCAATCAGATCATGTACATTCTTTTTTTTCTTTCTACACAAAAAGAAAATCAAAGAACAGAGTAATCAATTGTACAGAGAGGCCTGCCCAACAACATTACCTATATAAATAGAGAGAGAGAGAGAGAGAGAGAGAGAGGAGACTAACCATTTTGGTCTCTGCATACACTGGGTTTTGGTAGATAGAGATTGGTGCTGGGTGGACTAGGAAATGGGAGGGAGGGAATAATTTTATCGGGTACAAAGGGAGTCGTGAGATAAAGAGAAGACACCGCAGCACAGAGCAGAGCAGGGGGCCAGTGGGAAGTAGTAACTTTTCCAGTTAAAATGACCAAAATACCTTCATAAAAATGACAAAATTATCTGCATTGTTCTTTGATTGTGTCGGTAAAAATATATATATATATATATTTTTTTTTTTTGGAAGTTGTGTCAACCTTGAACTTTTACTTTATTTGGTGACTACAAATTGATGCCTTTAGCCCAGAAGTAGTGTGAAATTTGGACAAGCTTAACCCGAATAATTTGAGTTTAGTCTCAATTTTTTTAGAGTTTGGATAAAAGATTTTTAAATTTAGTATGAATTTGGATAAAAATTTAAAAATTTGATTTAAATTTGGACGAACTTAGACAAAGACGTCAAACAATCCGAGCAATCCAAAATTCGAATTATATATATATAAATATATAAAAATATTAAATATATATATAAATTATTAGTCATTACATGGTATTAAAGTAATTTATATTATTAAATCATATTGAATATATATTATATATACAAATAACATAAAATCTTACTTTGTTCTTTTTATTTTCATTCATAAATTGTAAAGATTACTATAGTGGCATCTCTCTTATATTATATAAATTATTTGTTTTGACGGTATTAATGATTTTCTATTAAAAAAATTGTAAATAGAGTCAAATTTTAATAATTTAATAATGTAACTGCAAAAAAAAAAATTTGAAATTCATTTATAATTCGGATAATTCGAACAACACGGACAATTCAGGTTTAACTCAGGTCGTGCTTGGATAGATAATTTCGGGTTACAATTCGGGCTTGTGCAGACTTGGGTAGGTCTCGACACAACTTGAACTAGACTTGGACAACCTCTTAACTCGACTGAACCTGCCTGAATTGCACCGCTACGCAAAACATAACTAATTTTTTCATATGATGTCACAAGAGGCTCCAATTGTATCAAGTTTTTTAATTTATTATTATTATTTTTTACTTTTACCACACAATATACATTTGTAAAGGGTTAGATGTTGAATATCAGTCACAGAAGTAGAAATTATAAAGCCTATCAAATGCTTATTTCTATGGCCAACAAATTCTAACTGTGGGGATATATTTTCTGAGTATCAACACGTGGTCAAGGTGACACCGACATGTCAGCCGAGGTGTCACATGTCCTGGTCATGGCGCCAAGGTTATCTCGGCTAGGCCAAGGTTACCTCCGAAGATATCGGAATCCGAAATAAGCGGATAAGAGACAAGAGTCCTAGAATGAGGAAGGACTGCAGCATGGATAATGATAACACTCTTAGGAAGTTTATCTTTATCTCTTGCAGAGTCCAGGACAAGCACTGAGCAGAAGTCCATTGAAGCTAGGCTTCTATGGGGATTAGAATTGAATTAATTATAAAAGAGAGGCACCCCCGATGGGTCTAAGGTACGCAATTTATATTCTGAACAGTAAGATTATCACTATTGATTATCTTTAAGAGATATACTGACTTGATCGTCGGAGTGCCCCCGGGTGGATGAACCACCGCCGGAATCTTCTCTTTCTGTTGCAGGTCAGTCAGGTGCCATCTATTCTGCCAGTGCTCTCCAGCTGAATACTGAGTTTGGCAGTGTGGTCAGAAATTCACTCACACAATTTGGCGTCGTCCGTGGGAAAGAAAAAATAATAGATGGCCAGTGACGGACAGAAGGATAAGGTTGGGGACGAAATCCCTGCTGGGAGTGGTAAACACGTTGGCTCAAACGTGGAGGAAGATGGTCGCAATGAGGAGACTCAGGGCCAGAATCACGGCAAGAAAGACGTTGGCCAGGATGGCGACATACCAAAGAAACCAGATCGAAGCGGATACTACAACGAGGACGACCCCCAGGTATGGAAAGATAGATGCCTACGGAGGGACGAAGATGTGAAAGAGATGGCAAACAAGTTGGCAGACCTGCAATCAGTCATCAATTTTATGATGTAAAATAACATCATGCAGCCACCATTCCCGCTGCAGGACACGTCGATTCTAGCGGCCAATGCCCAGAAAGGAGGGCATAAACCAATCCCAATAGCCCCTCAGCACACCAGAAATGAAAAACACTCTCACCGGCCTTCCAAGGAGGTCGGGCGAGGAGAGTCGAGGAGAGAAGAGTCACAAAGGACACATCGCACTAAAGAAGCAGACCCCAGAGAACATCGGCATGTTCAAAGGCAGGAGCTGTGCTTCGACACAACTCATGGAGAAAGGTCGAAAAGGGCCCACAACGAAGCTGAGAGTAGTATGCCGAAAAGACTGAAGTTGGGAGATAGCCGAGCTCTTGGACGGAGCAAGGAAGACTTGAGAGATTACCTCAAGAGGAAACAACATAATGCTGATGCCGAGGTAACTTCACCTGTTAAGCCGAGAACACCATTCTCGGTGGAATTGAACAAATTTGAGGCTCTAAAGAGATTCAGTATGCCGAGGTTCCAAATATACGATGGTAAGTCAGACCCCAACTTCCACGTTGGATTATACCTGAACTCAATGGCATTGTGTAGTGGGAACGAGCCGTTGCTCTGCAAAGTGTTCCCCTCATCCTTCGGGGAGATTGCATCGGATTGGTTTCATAAACTACCAAAGGAAAGTGTGAAGACCTGGCTGAGATGTTTGTGGCCAGATTCGTAACAAACAAGCTACAGCCATTAAGGGTGGACGCATTGATGGCTCTGAGAATTAGTAAGGATGAAGGCCTCAGGGCCTACGCAAAAAAATACTACGAGGTGTTCAACCGAATACCCGAGTGCAACCAAGAGGTGGCGGTCGTATCTTTCAAGAACGGCCTAAAAGACGACTGTCCACTACGAAAGTCTTTGGCAAAGACATTGCCAAAAAACATGGAAGAGCTCATGGCCAAAATCGAGAAGTATGCCAGAGTCAAGGAAGATACGTCAAGAGCCAAGGAGGCAAAGCAAGAGAAAGGTAACGGCTCGCCAAAACGAGGTCGAGGTAACGACGGGTCCAACAAAGAGATAGGACTGAGGGCTACACAGGCAGTCACAACTGTGTTCCGAATCCCAATTCATAAAGTCCTAGACAAAATCCGATCCCAGCCCTATTTCAGAGCATCAGCCAGGGTGCCAAGAGAATTTATGGGAAGAAGCCTTGGTAAGAATTGTGCTTACCATAACGAAGATGAACATATGACTCAGGATTGCAGAGCCTTGAAAGCACACCTGGAAGACCTGGTAAGGCAAGGCCATTTAAGGGACCTTGTAGGCGAGGCCAGGACAAGGGAAGAACAAGTAAGATTGCCTCAGGCACTAGCAGCTCCACCCCCCCAGTACAACAACCGCAGGCGGGCGGACCTCAGGTAATTAATTTAATTCACTCGAAGGTCAACGAAAACAAAATACGGGGGGAGACCCAGAGGGTAAAACACTTGCAGCACGTGTACCAGGTCGGGAAAAAACGACATCGGGCTGAGGTGTACCAAGGACCAGCAGTGTCCTTTACTGAAGCCGATCTTGAAATGGTCCAGCATCCCTACAATGATACCTTGGTAGTATCTCTCCAGGTCGGGGAGTGCCAAGTGAGGCGCATCCTAATCGACCAAGGCAGTTTTTGTGACATCATGTACGTCAGGTGTTATAAGGAGCTTGGCCTTCATCCAGACAATTTGGAACAATCCAATGGCCCAATGGTCGGGTTCAATGGAACGTCGACGTGGCCACTGGGAACAACGAGCTTGGAGGTGCATGCTGGCACTAGAAAGATACAGACAGAGTTCACTGTAATCGACACACCCTTCCCTTATAATGTAATTCTGGAAAGGCCATGGCTGCACGCAATGAGGGCTGTTCCCTCAATATTGCACCAACTACTGTGGTTCCCAACAGAGCATGGGATAGAAGAAATCAGAGGAGATCAGCTGCAGGCAAAGAATTACTCCATGGCAGCAATGAAATCTACCTGCAGCATACAAAACCAGAGAAGGCAGAAATCGAAGACGAGGACGTGGAAGTCCTAGAAGATGTCGGCAAGGAGCCAGCCGAGAAGAGTGAAGAAGCACTGAAGAAAATCCTCGTTCAAGAGGGAGATGAAGAACGCTTCTTCCTTCTTGGCTCGGGTTTAGCCGATGAAGAGGAAAAAGAGTTGGAGGCTTTTTTGAGAGCAAACATTGAAGTGTTTGCCTGGACACCTTACGAAATGCCTGGCATTGACCTCAAGGTCACTTGCCATAAACTGAACGTTGACAGGTCGACCAAACTTGTAATCCAACAAGCAAGAAGACCGACGTTGATGCACGTCGAGGTAGTGGAAGAAGAAGTAGACAGACTTCTGCAGGCCAAGGCCATTCGAGAGGTAAATTACCCGACATGGCTATCGAACATAATAATGGTAAAGAAAAAGAATGGTAAATAGAGGGTCTGCATAGACTTTACCAGCCTAAACAAGGCATGTCCCAAAGACAGTTTTCCTTTACCCAAGATTGACCAGCTGGTGGATGCCACTTCAGGGCATGGAAGGATGAGCTTCCTAGATGCCTATAGGGGGTACCACCAGATAGCCATGTACCCCCCCAGATGATGAGAAAACCACGTTTATCACCCCAAAAGGGCTGTATTGCTACAGAGTGATGCCCTTTGGGTTGAAAAATGCAAGAGCAACTTACCAAAGATTGGTAACCAAGATGTTCACACACCTGATTGGCCAAAACAGTGGAAGTTTACATCGACGACATGGTCATGAAGACCAAGGAACCTGAGGGTCATCTGGCCGACCTAAAAGCAGTTTTTGAAATCCTTAAAACATATCAGCTCCGACTCAATGCATTGAAGTGTGCGTTTGGAGTTGGATCTGGTAAGTTCTTGGGGTACCTGGTGACCAGAAGGGGCATTGAGGCCAGCCCAGATCAGATCAAGGCCATCTTGGAATTGAAGAGCCTGACGTCGGCAAAACAGGTGCAAATGTTGACTGGAAAGGCCGCAGTCTTGAACAGGTTCATAAGCAGAAGCTCAGACAAGTGCAAACCTTTCTTCAACTTAGTGAAGAAAGCCACAGACTTCTTG